CCAATTCTCATCAGAACGCCATGTAACTTCGTGCATACATACAGTTGCTAGTTAGTATCAAATTCATTTTTAAGAGTTGATTATCAGGGATTTGATCGGCCACATGTTCGATAGCAGCTTGACCCCCCCCCCAGTGGGTGTGTATTGCTGAAGAGTCCAAAATTAAGACTAAATAGATGTCTAGCACTTCCTGGTTTTCCAATGGTTTTTGTAGCTCGTGATCAAACTTGTAATGTATAACTCTACTGAGTGAATTTTCCGTCTTGCCTAGAAGTCTACATTTGTTCTGTTAAACAGCGCCCCTGAAACAAAGGCAACGGCGGTCAGATACTAACAGCCTTCGTAAACTTTAGACCTTTAGTGGTCATATTTTATAGCCATAAGGCAGAAGAGAGCGTACTTGTGTGGAACATATTTGATTTTTTTTATTTTTGATTACATCTTGATTCCACACTGTATTTTTGGCACAAGTATGGAATTTTCAGCATGGATATCGGTAGCCCAAATTTTGCAGGCCGACCATGGATATCAGGTGTTCGTCGGCAAGGGATCGAACCTCGGACCATGTGCATGGTCGGCGAGAGTCCTAACCACTGTGCCACCGACGCACGACATTCAGTCAGACAGCTATAAGCGTTATAAATGGCACAATTCGGCATAAGGTTTATAAGCCTTTATTTATGCACACCGACAATTTGCCTGCTATCAATCTATTTAGATTGGTGTAACTTCCCAGACAAGTGAAGTGATCGACACACCCAACAACTCAACTCCATGTGGTCAGATGATAGGCTATAGAAGTGCAGATCAGTGTGAAAGCGTTTAGAAACCTAGGAAGTGGTCAAACGTAGATATCCACATTATTCTCAAAGTAAGAAATGTTATACCAGCAGTTATTGAACAGTAAGCTTGACAGTACGATAATAAAAGTCTCTAATGCCAACAGAAACTAATTTTATTTTGAACAAGGGTAAATATTACAATGAGGAATGAGTGAATCTACACAAGTCTGTACAATTCATAGTTGAAAACCAACAGTTCGAAAGAAGTAGTTATCATGAAAAACGGAAAGATATGTCAATATAGGTAGAGAATATGATTTACATTTTCAAACAGAGAAATGACGGAAAGATTAAGTGTTTTAAAATTCTAGATTTTGCAGTATACTGTTAGAAGACAATTTGTTAAAGTAGCCTTACATGTCATCTGAGATAACATAAGATCCGCACAAGATTGTATTAGGTAGTTAGAGACGTGGCTCATTGGTTTAAGCTCTCAGTTTTCAAACACCGGGTCCAGGGTTATAATTCAACTCCGCCTACTACAGTGTTGAACAAGTAGGTAGAATCATCAGCCGTCTCACAATAAGTCTGGCTAATAGCCTGCTACATAAAAGATTTCTTGCGCGTAACGGTCTACTAACTAACTAGGCGCTTGAACAGCAAGTACCCACAGTAAACTGTCTGTTCAGATATTAATTTGTCGGAAATAGAAATTCAGCACAAGTGATAGTAATACTGAGACAAGTTATCAACAAAGAGACGTACCTATACTAGAGTAGGCGCGCTAAACCTATTTTATGATAACAGATAATATTATTCAACTATCTAATCGTCAGCAGATAAAACGGAGATCGAATTCACACATGAAGAAAAATTAATTGGATATATACCTTCATTGCAAGCACCTATTATTACGAAACTATCCCTAAATGATTCCTAAACAATAAATATAACTCATATGCCAAGATAACATACGAATAATACATCAGATTCAATCAGTTAAATTTATACTTCAACATATAGGTGAAGAGGGTATACTTTGAAAATAATGATTATTACTGCTGAGCATACATTAAAATTAAGCCAGCCGAATAGCTCCCAGAAAAGAGAATGAAAAGAGAGAAAATGTGCAAGAAGAGAAACAGCTGCTTATGTAATGAATGCTTGACTTATTTCTGTATAAGGACTCTTATCCAAGTTCCGAGTGGAACGTAGGGCTTAAAATCTTAAAGTTTCAGTAGCTGTGTTGTGTTTTTTACGAGGTGAAGTCACTAGTCTCATGTCTAACCGCCCCATTTTTCTGATCTTAATGCCAGCTAGTAAAGTAGACGAGGTCTAGGAATGCATCGGCCGGGAATCGAATCACAAACTATGTACATAACTGGCGAGCGTCCTACCCACTGAAGTACCGACATACATCGATATTTCTAATAAACAACAGTGCATATCATACTAAAAAGTTGAAAAAGAATCTAGAATTTTTTCCAACAAGTGCCAAAACACCTTACAAAATCAGTCTTGTTCCATGATGAACAAGTGATTGATAACAGATGATAAGTAGTGTTACATACTTGCAAATTCTTAAAAACAAGTAATAAGCTGCCTAGTATTTTCTTTTGTTGTTAACTGTTTTATTGTAAACCTGCTCAGTAAAACTGTTACTTACCTACTTTTGACAAGTGAAACCAAAATGATCAAAAAATATCTGGTATTATATTTTTTTAAGAAATAGACAGCATAGATGGTTCACTGATAGGATGCTTGCCAACCAAACAGGTGCTTTGGGTTGACTCACTTCTACACCTACACCTCACCCAGTCGACCAGCCGCAGGGGATCTCGGGAAATAGGAAAAGCTGAGCGTGGGGCTAACAATTTCACCGTGAAAAGAAAATGAGCTCCGCTACTGAAACTTTAAAACTGGAAGCTCTATGTTCCCCTCGTAACGAGAAGAAAGAGATAAACAGCCAAAGGTAACAGTGAAATTATCAAAGGAAGCAGTATACCTGCATATAATATTCACATCGAAAGGTATTGACAAAATGTGTGTAACCTACACATACACATTAGGTACAGAGTTACGCGAATTTTTTTTAATGACGTTACATGCTATAGAGACAAAGATTTGTATTTGATAAAAGTATACACAAAGTTAACAATAACACCATTATTATACGCGAAGACAGGCTATCAGCTGTTTAAACTCAACCATGTAGAACATATTTTTTTATTTAATAAGCTATGAACCACATTTATCGTATGTCGGTTGTCAGTACTATACTACCCAGTTTCACAGGCTTAAATAGATGCAGTGCGACTCCAGCCCGTAAATCATTGGCTGGGAGCTTAATGCATATCCCAACAAGCAATCCAATGATGAAAATGTATTACAGTATGCAGTATTTTGCTAAGTTATTCAAATACATTTGGGGGATAGTGTCCCACATCTAGCTCGTTCATAATTTAGTGTATCTGAGTGGAATAGTAACAGCAATACAACTTTGAAACCATCTACAAAGCATTACTTACTAATCATGCCCATTGAAATAAATCTCATATACAGATACAATAAGATTGCTTAGTATCTGGTAAATTACTTAAAATAAGGCTTAAGTATACAAATGAATTTCACACTATGTCATCACCTTGTTAAGAGAGTATGATTAGTAATGCCAGCAGAGTATTGAGAAGATTTAAAGAATCTCAGCTCCGTACAAATATTGTGAAAAATAGTTTTCAGTAGTGGAAATACTTCAGTACTTTCAAGTAGCATTGAAAATCTTTCTGAAATTGAGTACATGTGGCAGAGAGTAGCTCACATGTCGTATATCACATATATAAGGCTGTTTCACACAAAACAATGAACATTTCTAACTATGGTAAATCATTTCTGCACCATATCTAAAATTTAGTAGGTTAAGTAAGTAAAGTAAGTTACTTAAATCGAATGTCGTTTTAAGACAATTCTTGTTTTATTACAAGTCAATTTTTGTTAAATAGTATAAACAGGATAAACCAGAAATTCTTAATATTGAACTTTGATCTTTCATTTGAGAATACTGAATTCATTTCACACAGACTAGACATTTAGCTGACATATTCGTATTATCTAAAGATGCTAATGTGACTAAGTAGTTTAGTGATTAGCAACTTCATTTTTAAAACGGTAGGCGGTACGTTCAAGGTACCAGTGGGGACACAACCCACTGGGATTAAGGAGCCATCCAACTTAAGAATCCAAAACAGAGCAAAATGTACACTTTGATATCCACCACTAGTCGTGACTAAACGAGTAAAATGTATTCAGATTTTGTGCGTTGGGGGCTTAATGAATGGTGGAGTGTTCGCCAGTCTGGTACGAGGTTCAACTCCAATTCCTAAACTTCGTCTAGTTTACTAGCCGATATTAGGTCCAGAAAAGATGGAAGTTTGACTGTGAGGCTGATAACTCCACCGCTGCTCAAACATTAAAGGTTTGGAGCTCTATGCTCCACTCGGAAGGCAAGGAATGGTAAAAGGAGAGGTAATAATATCTCGCACAACCTCATAATAAACAAGTGCCACTTTATGTTCACTTCTGTTATCTAACCACTTGAAAATTGTTGCGTTCAACGCAGTTACGATCCATGAACCAATTAGTTCTAGAAATATGCCTCAATCAGTGATTAGTATAGCTTATCCTACTGACAACTATACATAATTAGAACTGAAAACGTAAGACAATTAGTGGTTGAAAAATCTTACTTTCTAAAGTGTCATACATCCTTTTATAAATAATTTTAAAAATGGTTCTTATGCAAAGCTTCACTAACCAAAATGCATCAATAAGAACAATGAGTTAACGCGAACTTGAAACTAGTTGAGAATTCTTAAAATATGCCAACAGAATTTCAGATATATTCCCAATATATCACGGCAACTCCATATTGATATTGATGAACCTAACTAAGTAACTCAAAAAAAGATCTTCAGTCTCCAATCTTAGAATACAACAAAATCAGAAGCAGACAAGAGTGTTCAAAGAATGAATTCAATTATAAGAGGCAGGCGGAGAAATATAACAGAATAGAATATAAGAAAAGATAATAGAGGGAATGATAAGGCAAAAGGGAGCGGCTTGGCATCATCACTTACAAATACGAATATAATAAGTAAGTAACACAGTAAATCATATACAGAAAACATGTATACACACACAAGTACAAATTTATCGACTTACCTTTCACTGATAGAACAAACAATAATAGAATGCAACAGATGGTCTTCTAAAAATGTAAAAACAAAACACAAAAATTTTTTTAAATAAGTGATATAAAACGATACGTAAGTAAGAACTCTAAAATGATGAACTGAATAACAACCAAATACTTTAGAAAAAATATATCTGAATGCTCTTTTCCTGGAAATTGAATAATTGCAGTCGTATAAGTCTAACCAGTCTGATAGAAGTATAATCGTCTTAACTATGGATTATGTTCCCTTCATAGTATAAAACTTGGATTAATCGATAATCGGTCAAATAATTGCCTGTTCTCTCCCATAAACATAAGCCAAGCTAATAACAGGTACTACCGTGGATTATTGTTTTTGTAATAGCCCAGAAGACAGACACAGAAAGAACAATTTAGAACCTTTCAGGTATCTCTCTCAAAAGTTTCGGCACTAGTTCGCAGATTTGAAATTCATCTAGGTTTGGGTAGTTTAAGTTTAAGGAATCTCAAATAATTTTTTAGTCAGTAACACTTCACGCTGGAACTTCAAGAATTAGCACAGAAGTGCACCAGTCAAAGTTACTATACTTTAAGACACAAAAAATGAAATGAAACAGAGGGAATATTATTGTAGAAGTGGTTACAATAATTTGGTGGAAATATTCAAAATGTCAGAAATGACGAGTGAATACATTCACTTTCTAACACACGATCATAGGCCGTTTTATTGAGATAGTCGAACCAGTTAAGCAACCTACACACTCCTGAGTAGGTAAGACAGCCATTCACAGAATTAACTGATTAACGCCATGTTTTAGCTCAATCAATTTCTAACTCTCTTTTGAGCTGACAGTGCTCCTCAACAAAGGCAGTATAGCGTTTCAAACATCTAAATCATTAAATATGACTAAAAATCGATAATATTTTGTGAATCTAATTTAACCGATCAAGTATAATGGTTGCAAGGTGGGACACAGAGCACTGTTGTGTAATGCAAACACCACTTTATAGCCGGATATTCCGTCCGCACCAAAACGACCAAGTGTCAAAGGAGTCATTTGTAACCAATGCTGACAATTTTTTCCCGTAACTTGCTTACTGGGACTAATTTGACTTCCCAATGCATATGAACGTTTTCCTCGCTATGGCCTATCTTACATTGACGGGAGTGAATCAAACTAAACTTACTAAGAAATTTGGTTCAGTGTCAAAAGACAGATTCTGATAAAATTCTGTCGTCTGCAATATAGTCAAGTAGCTGTTTCATTAGCAAGTCGTTCTGAGTTGAAGCCAAACAAAGTCAATTTTAAGATTGATCACAATATTCAGTTAGGATAAAAAAGCTTGTTCATTTTTCTCACGACACTATTGGACATAAACATTGACGCAAATTAATGTCTACCAATTGGTAGCAGCCTCTCACCACAAGTGTACCACCGCATAACTAGTTTCTCGTCGTTACCCTAAAGGCTTTAACCCTCACGTTATCAGCAAAGGGCAAAGTTAAACTTTAAGCACCATTAAGTACCAACGAACAAATGACATTAAAAGCACCAACCACATGATAAAGGTGAAATTTGCGTTTAAAATACATATATTTATGAAAATGTTACACAGTATGCCTTTCTCTGATGTGTGACAAAAATACCTTTCAGTTTTGAATTGAAGTGTCGACAGAATAATTAAGCCAAATTCTGTGCATGTAATTATCTAGTCTCTTAACCTGAACAAGAACCCTAATCTTTCCCTAATTTAACTCGAACTAACCCTAACGTATCATTAGCCTAAACCTTAACTTAATCTTCCCCAAACCCAACCTGAAACTCGCCAAATATTCCCTTTGGTAACATAACACTTCATTGGGCATATTTCCTTTATAATTACAATATATTTCCCAGGTTTCACTGACTGGATAACTGAGCATTTCAAAGTCAGTGGTGTGGTCGCACTTCATTGGTATTTACTGGTGCTTAAAGTTTAACTTGTTCAGCAAAGATCTGAACCATTACGGATTAGTTTCATATTAGAAGCTGAAAGTCAGTTAGTGGAAAACCATACGTGCCTGCTGACACGATCAGGAGAATCCACTAACCAGTGAGTTCACTCTAAATCAACTGGTCACTGTTATCTATAGTTAGAATATTCAATTGTACTAAACAGTAAAATAATTTGGCAATATAAGCAGATAGTAAAGAATTAAAAACACTTGAAAAGACGTTTATTGATAGAGTTCATAACAATAGAACAACCAAATTAGAATACGACTTGAAAAAGCCTCGTTAGCGTTTCAGAGTAGGCAGTTCTATAATCCTTTTCAAAAATCTGGTTTCTCAATTATGCGTCTTACAATATAGATTGACTATTACAGCCTAGAAGACTATTAGCAACTGATAAAAGCTGAATACTCGAATTTAAGCTCAGGTAAAGTATGTTTAGTTGTGGAGTGAAATGTCACTCAGTCAACAAAGCTATCGAAAACACTTGCTTCGTAATCATGAATACAAGCTTGGTGATGCTTTTCGAAAAATCCTAGCACCAGTCACTATTCGCTAACTTTGGGAATAGTTAGAATTAATGAGAAAGTGGTCAGTTTAAGATGTACTATAGTTAGATAAAAGATCAAGTCAGGCTAAAATCTGAAACACAAATATAGGGGAATCTGAATTGTGAAAGGGCATGAGGTGGTGATGTTCCATTGAGCTTTACTTTAGAGAGTAAATATGATGTATACCAAGTTATCAGTAACATCTATTATGTGACGACCTAAAATGTTACCCGACTGTCCAGTTTTCACAGATAGGTTTCAAACCGATGATTTAGTGAAGAGAAGTAAAAGCTACGGAGTTACTGACTACCACTTACTAACGATTGGGAGACAGCTACTGCAGTGGCTCAGATGCCTCGCGGGTCAGACTTTAAGTCTACGGCTTAGAAACTGACACCTGAAGAAAAACAACCAGCTTGGATGTCCTTTGGGACATCTTAGCAGTTACACAATAAATGAAGCGACAATTCGTTTTGTTAGCTCCTCTAAATTGGTAGGGCATAAAAATCCCTTCTTGACTGGATCCCAACAGATAGTCCTATTCCTACGGTCAGTCTTAACGAGTGCGTTAGAAGAAGGAAGAACAGTGTTACCCGTCGTTGTCTTTCCACAGTCTCCACTTACGTCCCAACAGACTGAAGTTCGGATGAAATAAAGGATGATATGTACCTAAAACTGTCTGATTAGCTGCAAAAAGCAAAAGGTTCAGATATGGTTGTTCTTAGCAGGCGACTTTAATGTCCAAGTAGGGAAGTTGTGCCAGGCTGAGAAGTATGAAGGTGGTACGTATGGAGTTCCCTGCCGACGAACTGGCAACGGTGATCGTCTTCCACAGTTCTTTTCAGATAATTATCTGTTCCTAGTCAGCACTAATTTAGTCACAAAGAGAGACACTGAGTAACCTGGTGACCTCCATCACCAAATCAACGCTGAACTCAGATAGACCACATAGCGATATAGTATCGTTGGTGAGGGTCAGTAGAAGACTGCCGCTCCTTCAGGAACATGTACGTAGACTCCAATCACGCTCTGGTCAGCGCACGTTTAGGCTTACGACTAAACGGGCATAAGAAATTGTTGGCAGCGAAACAGTTACGTCCCCAACTAGATCGAGACTCTGAGTCCCTGTTTAAGGAACAAATAGCGAAACGTGTACCTTAGGTCGACAGCAGGACTTCTCCTGGGGCAGCCTGGCACAACATACAGTTAGGTGTAGACAACTTTAAAAGTTGTTAATAACCTAAGACCAAAAGTTCGTAAGAGCCACTGGATCTCTACAGCCTCATCCGAACTGATTGACGCAAGGAGACTGACTCCGACGAGCTCCGAATATGACGAGGAGAGAAAGCTACTCAATCACAAACTAACAAGAAGCCTTCGTAACGACCGTGGACAGTGGCGGACGACAAAAGCGAAAGAGATGGAAAAGGCATCGGGTACTGGTAACACCAGACAACTATTTAGACTTATCAGGGAAACAGGTGGTAAAAGGCAAACGACAAGTGAAATAATCTCTGAGAAAAACGGCACCATAATTAGCTCCCAGTATAGACGACTGGAACGCTTGGAAGAACTGGCATACAGCCACTCTCAAATTACCGAACATCCCACACCTCCCTGAATGGGATATAGACACAGGTCCGCCATCCTTAACTGAGGTTACTAAAGCTGTCACTAGTCTGAAACTAGGCAAAGCAGCAGGACCCGATGGAATGACTCCAAAGGTATTTACATACGGTGGAGACAGTTTACTGCCTGCGTTGCGTCTGTCTGTTTTCGACATAGAACTTTGCACAAATGTGAAGTTCAAGTCGCCACATTCCGTGTAGCACGCGAAGCAAGAGAAGAAAGTACAAGAAAAGCATAATAGAAACAGTGAGCAGAGGTGTGAGACAAAGGAGTAATAAAGAAATACAAAACAGTTCATTGGAAATCATAAGTCACAGGGAGTGGATGCATCTGCGCACTGAGACGGTTTTGAGTCATGTCACCAATTGTTTCCAACCATAGTTTTTACCGTCCGAGGACCCCAGCCTGGAAGTCTACACCTTTCTACGTGGCTTAGACCAACTGTTGGGATTTCATTGACTGATGCCAAGTTTTGTTTGACCGCCGCTAGCTTTTTTCCAGCCTGACCCTTATCCGCTAACATTGCTCGTCGAGGGCGATGGCTTGGCATACGTAACACATGTCCTAACCATCTCAGCTTTGTAGCTTCACGACTTCGTCGATTGATTTCCCTGGTTACCTAGAACTCGACGCCTAACCTCCATGTTGCTCACCTTGTTATGCCACTTTACAGGGAAATAGAACGCAGGCACCTATGATCAAACAGCTAGTCTTTTCATGTCTTCCACTCTATGCCAGGTCTCCAACCATAAGACTAGCGTCGATGTGGTCCAGTCTGTACATCATCTTGCTTTGGCGGAGCGAATCGCATGCCAAACATTCGTAGATTTAACTAAGGTACTAAGCAGAGTCTGGGAATCAGAAGAATTCCCGTCGGGTTGGTCACTGATTATTTACATTTACAATAAGGGAGACAAGTCTTCCTATGATTATCACCGAGGGATTAGCTTGACTAATATAGTATCTAAAGTCCTAGGCTCAATAATATTGCGTAGACTGTGTTGCTCGGGAAGCACAAACACGAGAGAAACAGGCAAACTTTAGACCAGGAAGAGGGTGTATTGATCATATCTTCACCCTTCGACAGATTCTGGAACATAAGCATTCTTACCGGCGGCGTCCAACAATCGTTATGTGGCATTTGATTCTGTCGACCGAAGGGTACTCTGGTGATGTTTGGCTGAGAAGAGAATGCCGAGAAAATGGATTGCACTGATCAAGGCACCCTTCTCGAACTCATGCAACCAGGTGAGGGCTTAAGGCGAGTTGTCATCTGAAGTGGTGACGACTGGTGGTGTCCGTTAGGAATACCCACTATCCCCATTTCTATTCAATTTCATCATATATATATATATATATATATATATATATATATATCAATGGACTTAACCCTAACTCACTTAAGGGACTCAGGGATTGACTTGTTACCAGGGAATAATCTCGTCAACTTAGAATACGCAGACGATATAGTCCTTATAGACGAGGACGGAGTCTTCGGAGGCAGAGTCTTCTGAACACCTTGAGCTGCAATCTACGAATGTTTGGCATGCGACTCGCTCCTGCTGTCAAATGTAAGATGATGCCACAAGAATGGACTACATTAACCCCTAGCTTAAAGACAGGTAGGAGTGAAGTAGTAGAGAGTGTTGGCAACTTCACCTACTTGGGAAGTTACAAAAGCCAGTGCCAACAGGTTGATCAATGACGAAATCTCAGCACGGATACAGAAAGCTAGCTTCGCATATGCCAGTTTACGCCGTCTCTCGAGCACATTAGAAATCCACCGGGTGTCGACCAAAGGGCGTGTGCACTGCTCAATAGTTTTCTCCGTCCTCCTTTGTGGCTGTGAGACCTGGACTTGAGAGTGGAGGACATGAAAAGGCTAGCTGTCTTTGATCATAGGTACCTGCATTCTGTCTCCCGTGTGAAGTTGAATAATAGGGTGAGCGTCGAGTGACAGGTTAGGAGGGGAAATCAATCAACGAGGCTGTGAAGGCACATCGGCTGAGATGGTTAAAACATGTGTTACGCATGCCTAGCCTAGCCATCGCCTTCCTCGACAATGGACAATGTTAGCTGGCATAGGGTTAGGCCGGAAAAGAGCTAGCGATGGTCAAACCAAATCATGGCTTCATCAGTGAATGCAATCCACAACAGTTAAGTTGGGAGGTGTAGACTTCCTGACTGGTTGGGGTCCTCGGGACGGTAAACACCAAGGAAGGCTGGAAAAAATTGGTGATATGGCTCAAAGTAATCGTTCTTAATGGCTGGCTGGCGCAGATGCATCCACTCCTTGTGACTTATAATTTCCAATGAAACTATATTGTTCTTCGTTATTACTATTCCTTTTATCTCATATACCTGTCTATTGTCTCTATTTTGCATTTCTTCTACTTTTTTCTCTTGCTTTGTGTGCTGAGTGAAGTGGAACTGGAACTGTCTGTTAGAGAGAGGTGTACCTGAGAAATTCGTTAACATCTTGAAAGCCCTATACAGAAACACCTCAAATAGAGTGAGGGCATACAACCAACTATCATCACTGTTTCCAACCAACAGTGGGGTTAGACAGGGTTGCCCAATCTCTCCATTTCTCTTCAACTTGCCATTGATGATATTCTGGAGTCAGCTCTGAAGGATGTGCGTGAAGGTGCTGTAGATCTGCTACCTGGAGATAGACTTTTCGACCTCGAGTATGCAGACGATATCGTCTTACTGTGCGATAGCCTGCAGGTTGCCCAAATCGCACTTAATCAGTTGGCGATCAGTGTCTGTAGTATGGTATGTGCGCCGTCTAAGTACAAAGTACTGTTACAAGATTGGCAGGAGCCTGCACCTGCACTCACTCTTGCGGGTGAACCGCTTGAAGTTGTTGATAAGTTTGTGTACCTGGGTAGTTGTGTGAGTGCTGGGGAGGGGTGACGGATGAGATTTCCAACCGTATAATGAAGGCTAGGGTGGCATACATCAACTTGAGCCACCCCTGGCGCCGTCGCAATGTTAGCCTGGCTGTCAAAGGTCGGGTATACAATGCTTCGGTGCGGGCTGCCCTACTCTACGCCTGTGGAACCTGGCCTCTCCGAGCTGAGGATGTGTGGCGACTCTGCGTGTCCGATCATCCCTGTCTCCGCAGGATTGCTTGCGTTCGATGGCATCATTGCGTGAGTAATTCTGAGGTTCGGCGGCGTGTATTTGAACACAGTGGACATCACCATTCATTGAGTGTCGTCATCTGGAAACACCGGCTCCGGTGGCTTGGACATGTGCTGCGAATGTCATCCCAGAGGCTTCCGTACAGGTTTCTGTTGGCTAGCCAGCCCTGGGACGGGATGGAAAAGGCGGAGAGGTGGTCAGTTCATGACGTGGCGTCGTGGGATGAAGGATTTTTGTGCTAGATTAGCGTCGGTTGGTGTGTCACGACTCCCTGATAGCTCAAATCGATGGCTCGAAACGTTATCAGATATGGCCAAGAATTGTAATCAATGGCGAACGTGTTGCAATTTCGTTCTTTCTTCCCTTCCCGATGATAGTTAACGAATACTGTTTGAACTTGTTAAGCATGAGTGTTTTCCTTCCAGATGAAGTTCTTTATCCGTTCTCTACTTATATTTTTTCTTTTTTTGATCTATGTTGTTTTATTATTATTGTGTGGCGCATCCTTCTTGGTGCCATATTGTACCAAGTTTTTACGCGTTCAAATAAACAAATAAATAATGAGTGAAGTGTGGCGACTTGAACTGCTGCACATTGGTGCAAAATTCTATGTTGAAAACAGACAGACAGATACTCTGAAATTACTCCTCAAATGAGCATGAAAGACTGGTCAGGTTCAAAGAATAGACCGATACCACAACTCCATAATTTTTCCTCTTCCTTAAGATTACTGTAAATTTGAGTTTACTTTTGGTTTTCTGCGTTTGTATATAGCTTGACGCTAAGTGATTGTTTTTAAAAGTTGAATACATATAGATGGTGGTGCTGCGAATTATGCCGTATTAAGCCTGGAAGCTGTATACAGGAATAACTGTGTGAAGACAAGCTGCCTAACAGGTACATATTAACTAATTTATAAGAATAGAGATTCGCACTGCAGAGATTATTCTTAGCATTAAATTTTGCAATCTATATTTTCCGGAAGGTTGCTGTTTTAAAATTGACCCAATAATGTGATATATGAATGGCTTTGGGATGAGTGCTCAGTTTAAATATTAGCAATAAAAATACAACTATCTGTGACCTCATTGGATCAGAAATTACTGTGGTATATGGTATACAACTAAGTAATCGGCTTTAAAGTGAAGCTGTGGTCTAGGTGCACGATTTCTATTCAAAAACACAGTGCTCCCCGCTTCATAATATGTGTCTAACCATATTAACTAATCCAGTCAGATGTGGACTTAAAATCTTTAACCAAACAGGGATAGAAAGGGCAGTAGATAATTTCTAACATGGCGTTTTAGAATTAATAAAGAGGGGAGAAATTTATACCACTAGCTTAATTTTTACCCAAACAGCGCTGAGAAAACTTGTAGGTGGATGAGTATCAGCGTCTACAGAGTTGTTAGGAATATATTCGTTATGCTGTTAGGGTCTTGACATCAAGTCATTCACTGCAAATGAATGCTACCATCATATAGCCACTTACAGTTTAACTAGAAAATTCTTGAAAATTGAATGCTTTGAAAGTAAACATCAGTAAAAAGTAGGATCCTATGATCTGCACTTATTTCCATATTTTATGAGGTGTAATAAGAAAGTATTCTAATGTAAAATTATACAAACGAAGGTACCAACCGATAATTCCATAGTGAAAATACATCAAGAGATAACAAGTCTGAGTTGAAAAGAGGAATTTTTATAGACAGACGATTTGCACACACCATTAGCAGTTGCACAATTAGTCAATTAATTGCTGTCTACTTATCCAATAACAATTTTGCATAGCCGTACATAGGTTGCATAACTGTGAGATAAACATAAGGTTCACATAGGGAAACAATGGGTCAAAACAGTAAAACACACACGGTGACAATCCCTTGTACATCACTTATGATAATTCATTGGAGGTTATCGGAAATTATGCACCAGAAATGAAGTTTTATAATAATAATAAGCAACACTAAGGTATTAAAATTGTGCTTTAACATTATCTAATGTAATATCCGTATAAATAGCGGCACAAAAATAATGCTGTTTGACTGATAATTACGAAAATATACTTCTCATAATTAAGAAACACAGATTAAAAGGCATATATTCTCACCATTATTTGATAAGTTTAATAATTCCGCTTGACCTTAACACAGAGATTTTTTGTAATACCCGGGCTGGTTTACAAAGATTTCAGTGAAGGTTATCCATTCAATGTTTTGAATGTGGTCATTCTTCTTTTTTACTTATCACCGCTAAGAAAATTATCTTGTGCCAAAAAGAGGAAGCGAAAGGATTATATTTTAGTGGCGTGACTTTTGATAGATAACTATAATTACTGTTGATCCTTTTCTATTAGCTTCTAATCATGAGATAAGTAGCTCATTTGGCGTCTGCATATCTTTTCATTGATTACCCCTATGGTGATTCAGTTTGCGTTTGACGGCACTAGCAGAAGAATTAGCTGCTATGTAAACCAATAAGGAGATAAATTTGTTGAAGGTAAATAAATATATAATAAAACACGTGTTTAGAGCACTGAGCGCTAGTCTTCCTATGAGCTGTTGGTGTATGATTATCAACTATTTCAAACACCACGTGTTACCTGTGGTAGTTACATACCTACTTTCTGGGTTTGTGCGCCATTAATATCCCAGTTAAAAGTGATACCTGTTTGGTCAGAGTAGTAGCCCACGATTCAGTGGTTTCGTTTTTGGTTGTTTGCCCGTCATAAATGAACCCGTATCTCCTCATCCCAATCATGTATATCAAAAAGGATTAGAAAGTTTGATTCCAAAGTATGACCCGTTAAGAAGTGACTGAAATAAGGTAGCACGCCAGACTAGCACTGAAAGAATTTTACACTACTGACTTTCAGAAAACCAGATGATCGCCTGTCCATATTGGTGAACATTGAGCGAAATAGGGTTTATTCATTCGAGCGGATACTCATTTACCAAGAGGAAACGGCGACAGCCGTAGTTTAGTCTTTCGTTGTTTGGTGGAAAACTGGAAGTACACGATCAGAAGCATTATTGTGAGCTAAACTGACGCTTATCAAAAGACTTCATAGACCTCCCGTAGTAGCTTTGTAATCCCCGTTTACCGTCTTACAACACAAAAATACTCGAATTTCTATTCTGACAGTATTTGAAGCTTACATTTTTGCATCACCTATTTTGCTGTTTTCCACATATTTAGTGTAACGTATTGGAAGACATTTGAGGCGATCAATGGTTGGGGTCAGTTTATCATGGATACACTTTTTTTGAACACTCTGGAGCTTATATCGGCTACTGAGATTTCTATGGGTGACAAATTGTTTTGAGTTATCCACCTTGAGTGTCTAGTATCTTACTTGTTACCTTAACCATTTGTTCTGCAGTGACCTATTCGCTTATCCGTATCGAGTGAAACACATGGTCCTTGGATTTCCAAGGAAAAAGAACCCGACAGCTAAGCTGTGGTGCGATTGTGCATCTCTACACTCTCTTCATATCACCTCTAGCGAATACCAATTTGAGCACCAGTGGTCTAGGTTTCGCTAAGACTAGTCTGGTTACCAGGTTAGGTTGGCCACTCTGTCGTGCCAGCAGGAAGTGTCACCGGGGCTCATATCGAGTAGGGTAGATGGCTACGCCGCAGCCACGTGAGTCAGTTTTGGCTGCATCCAACTCTTAAACGGTCTCAAATTTGTTCTCTCAAGATAATTGACTTGTTTATTGGAATACCATCCGTAATTACCCGGAGAAACTCAGGTAAGCCCCAAATGAAAATGGCTAACCTGAAAGATTCATAGAGGAAAACATTGAAGCAAACTAGAGGCCTAGAAGCACCCGCATAGGGCCAAAGCAGTGTGTGTCTATGACTGCTGAACTTAAATGTGATACCTTGGCTATGACTTGGAGGTACTGCTGTCAATGAACTTATCCCGAAGTTCCTGTTGTTATGAAGACGCCCCGCACCGACAAATACTATGTACTTTGACTTCAACTCCAAAACACCAGTATTGTAAGAAGGAAGTTATATTGTTTGGCAATTAAAGTGAAGAACAGTACAAGTCTACGAACAAATGTTTGATGCTAATTTATTATGTACTTTTATTTATTTTTGATCGTCTTCGTCGAACTTTTACACGATCGAACCATCCGCGCCTTCGAGTTGCACACCAATGGCTACCAGTTCCAAAATAAAAGTTCAGTTTTCACCTAAACTGACAACTGCTTATCCCAGTCTCTGAAGAAAAACTTCTTTTCGGCCGATCTACAGATCAATTTAGTAAGTCAGCAACGATCTTTGCTCATCTGAGGGGAAAGCAGCCGCTTCAATCCAAAACAGTATGTATTTATAAACTCACTTACGAAGACAGCTACAGTAACCATGCGGAACGCGTACTTTCTAAACGCGCCCCTGAACATTATATGCTCTCGTTATCAAGCGGACAATGTTATACAACTACCAGCCCGATTCAAGAGCACCTGCTGAGCTTCAATCACGCAGAGCCAGAATCTTCTTTCCGGATGATATAGAGAGTAAGTCCAAGTATTACAAGGTGTCAGCCAACTCTCATAAACCGTCAATGTCCAGCTCTTACTACGCTGGACCTCACGCTGCTCCTCGAAGACTTTCAGAAACAATTTGTATTAACCAACGCGAAAACCAAAACACTGATTGGCGACTCAAGAATCCTTTATTCTCACACTAATATGTAACCAACGATAAGGTTATTACACACAAGGTCTAAGAATAAATGTTATAACAATAAGTCACAATAATACTTCTGACAGTTTTTAATCTTCCTCTGAGCAGCGAACGATGAGACGATGACTGCTGGATTGATGACCCGAGAAAAATATGGAGGAGTTGGGTTTGAGCAAACAACCGTAAATTGATCGTTCAATCCTTAACTCCATTGGCAGGCATAATGCTGTAAAATTTGCTCTTTAGGTCTCCTGTTTGCCTTTGAATTGTGAGTAGATCATTTTTGGTTATCGCCACATTATCAATCAGTTCCTCCATGATATCTGATACCATATCTTTGGGTGCTTCTGGTGTTGAATGCGTAGTTCCGTCTGCGGAACTGAGTCCTTCAGGCGGTTGACAAGTTCCACATCTCAATCCTCAGCAGGTACACAGAGGCTTGACAGACTTAACTATTACAAGAACAAACATTTTTCACAATTTGAGAAAAAGACTTCATTATACAAAAAGTTTGTTGTATTGTCCGAGTATCAAAAGCACTGATAAACAGCTATCTATTGGAAAACTAATGTCAAACCTTTTTTAGCTGCGCTTCCTGGGGATAGATCCTTAGTTCCAAGTGGTTAGAAAGCATAACAGATGATTCCGAGTTGTAGATTCCACAATTGAATACAATATATACTTCCAGGTGACAATACAATCGTTGTTAAATATGCATATGTGGATATTATGAAGAATATGGAAAGACAACTAACGCAGAGACAGAATACCTGTTGTATCGGGAAGGAGATTGACACCTTTGGTAGAACATGAGAATGAGCAAACCTTTTCTGCATATACAAGTAAAGGTTATTATAACGCATAACAACTCGGAGCATACACAAGTGTCAAAACCTAACACTACTTGTTTCAATGTATTTGAAGATTGAACGATCAATTTATGGTTGTTTGCTCAAACCCAACTCCTCCATATTTTTCGCGGGTCATCAATCCAGCAGTCATCGTCTCATCGTTCGCTGCTCAGAGGAAGATTAAAAACTGTCAGAAGTATTATTGTGACTTATTGTTATAACATTTATTCTTAGACCTTGTGTGTAATAACCTTATCGTTGGTTACATATTAGTGTGAGAATAAAGGATTCTTGAGTCGCCAATCAGTGTTTTGGTTTTCGCGTTGGTTAATACAAATTGTTTCTGAAAGTCTTCGAGGAGCAGCGTGAGGTCCAGCGTAGTAAGAGCTGGACATTGACGGTTTATGAGAGCTGACCGACAACGACCCTCACGCAGCCGTGTGGACCATCACAAAACATTCGTCTAGAATCACCTATCAAATCCGGCCATTTACCATATGGGTGAAGGAGCTGTTAAGAGAATCACTTCTTCACTTAAAGTCTTGACTTATAACATTCCAGACGGAGAGCCTATCGCCTAACTTAAATCTTCATGTCTAAATACTTGTAAGGTGTCATCAAAAGAATGTCGGGTTTGGTATCCTCGTAAAAAATCTGTAAACCACCCATGTCGGGTGCTTTTCAAGATAATAGGCTCTTCAACATTCTACACTAACCTTAGGGTTGCATCTGATTTAACATCATGCCGAAGAAGATGTCGTTCAGGAACACTGAATGCAGATAACCCTAACAGGACAGCCGTAGATGATTTTCCATGCAGTGTCCCGTCTATTGATACACATGGTGACCGCATGCATCAAACGTTTTTGCAGGCACAGACAAATATTGGCCAGGTATTATATAAAGACACCGATGCTGACACTGAAACAGAAGACATGGATCAGTCAACAGAACATAATGTTGAAATACATCGTTTGCACACTGACACAAGCGTCAATAGCCAGAAAACATCAAAACCCATCCCAATGGTGTTCCACGCATCTCCTTATAAGTCAGTTACTCTCCACCATGACAATCCATCCAATGTGAAGTATCAGTCCAATGTAGCTACTCAAGTCAGCAAATTTTCTGGGCGTTCTGACAAACTTCCCATTTCCATTAGAAAGCTAAATAGCTGGAGGTGTCGAAGCAACAGAAACCCTATGTAACATGTGACGGCTATCCCATGGGCCACAATCAGCCAGGTAAACATCATCAGGAGCTAAACTGAATGTACCATGTTTGCCAAAGTTATTATTGCAATTCGTATTGCTGATGCATATAGATGTTACTTATGTAGCAAAAAAATTTTAAAAGTACTCTACACACGGTGACAAGTATGTTGCCATTACCAGCCAGTAAGCAGAGGTAAATACAAAATTAGAGTGCAAATGGTATTTAACTGAGCACTGCTTGTCACACTGTCGTGGTAATTAAGAGTTTCAGAGGGTTTTTATCGGTAAAGATACAGAATAAGGAGAGAATTTCGCCGTAATTTCAGACACATATAGAGGTAAATTTAACC